GTTAAAACACGTCTTCTTTTGTTCGACTTGTTATAAAAATTTAACTTTATTTTGTTGTTGGTCTTGCATTTGGATGTAAGGTGGTGGAACCATGTAGTAAGTTAGTTAATTATAAGAGAGTATCATTGGTTGGGCTTTTTATGTGTTCATTGTGTTTTGGGTGAATGACAAAATATTTATTTGTGTTAAAAATATGTTTTCTATATTTAGATATTACATTTGCATTTTTCAGTGTCATATTAAATATTATTTTCATTAGATAACAAAAATCAAAAAATCATGCTTATAAATAAAATAAAATAAGTTGAGACATTAGCATTTCAATTAGTAAATTTAAAAATTATTATTCAATTGAATGTATAGTATAAACAGGGTCGGCCAAGATCCAGTTTTTAAACAACTTCGTGGCAATCTCTAATACGTGTCAATATATATTTTAGTTTTAGCATGTTGTTAACAAAAAACTTAAAAAGTTTTTTATTGTTAAAATGTTTTTAAAAATTGGTAAAACTATAGTTAACGATTTAAACAAAATTTTTATATTGTTTTAATCGTCATTTTAATGTGTTATAATCCAGTTTTAAAGAACAACAATTGAACAATAAAAAAGCATATGAAATGGTAAAATGCAGAGTTTTTAAAATTCAATAACAATACTCACTCCTTATAATTGTTGTATATACAGAAGATATTTACAACCAATAAAATTTATTAGAAATAATTTTAGTGATTTCAACATAAAAATTTTATTTTAACAATTAATATACCTTTTCAACATACACATTAATATTAATTGTAAATGTATATATGTATATTTGTCAGTTTAACAAAGGTTTTGAATAGTTCAATTGTGTCCTTTTTAAATTAAAGTATTAATTAATCAATCAAATAGAAGTATTTTCATTATCTTTAGCAATAATACAAAACAAACAATGTATTATTTTTCGAATGAAGTCAATCATATTACTTTCAAAACAGTAAAACTTAATTTTAGTTCGTTTTCTTGATAAAAACCATAATAATCAATCAAAATAATTATTATCACCCAAATAAAAAAACTGTTATCAGAGTAACGTTGAATAAGTTTTATTTGCATGTATAATTTACAATTGAAAGTTTGGTGTACAATTAAATCAACACAAAGAAATATTATTATATTGTATTTAAAGTAATTTGAAAAAAAAATTTGGTGTTTAATATAAATTATCGTTTTATTTTTCTTCATTTTATCTTTTGGTATAAATAATTGTGTTTTGTCATTTTTATTTTGTTTTTTAAAAATGATTGTGTTATTTACCATTTTATTGTTTTTTAAGTTTTTTTCCAATAACATGGTCGTTTGGCCGACCCTGGTATAAAGTTTGATTTTATGAAAAACTTTTGTTTGTAACTGAAATTCAGCACTTAAATAATTTTGTAAAAAATAAACTTCTTTATTCCCCCACAAAATGTTTATATTTTTAATGCTATAAACTGTGATATATGAACTTATTTTGGAATATAATTGGTCATTTTCAACATTAAGTTAAATATCAATATACATTAGATACTTAAAGGTTGAAAACCAAATTAATTATTAAAACCTACGAACAACTAATACAATAAGTCAAAACTTAAAAATAGAAAGCCCTGTAGCACAACCGGTAGTACATCTACTTATAGAATAGAGTTGTGCGAGGGTCAGGGTTTTATTTTTACATGGACCATTTTATTAAACTTCAAATGGTCTTCAAACAATAAATGATATTGTTGAAGTCTTAATGTAAATTAAATTATTAAAAAGCCACTTGTTTTTTTATGCTATTTTTGATGGAAGGTAATAACCATATAATATCTATCCTTATCCAATTGTTAAATAAAAAACGAAAGAAATATCAATAAATTCAATCTATTCTTCAATAACATCCACTGCTTTAAATCTTATTTTTTAAAAAAATGCAAAAACAATAAAGTAACTTGTATCGACAAACAACAAAACAAACAAATTTTTACTATAGTCCACAGTTTGGGTTTTACAATTTTATCATATTAACACTGAAAATAACACCCTTTATTATTGAATTGTATAAAAGTGATATATTAACAATTTTGATGTATTACTCATTGTGGCTTGTGTAATGTAATGCATGTAATTGTTTTTTTATTAAACCAGTTAATATTTAATAAACTTCGTAATAAGGGCGACTAACAAGTTAATATAATTAATTAAATAAATTAAAAAATATATATATAAATAATTTATTAAACATTTATATTCATTAAATATGGTATTCTAATCCTTTGAAATATCCACTTCATGATTATATAAAGTCACCAATTCATAAAAATGTATTAAAATAAATTAGTAAAAACCAAGTCAAATTGCCACTATTTGTAAATTTTACAACTATCAACAAAACATCAAAAATATAAAAAATGATT